CGGTAGAGGGTATCCAGGGGTGTGGGGGAGTTTACCAAGGCTTGTGTGGCCAAAGGAGAAAATGCAGCCGTCGGTCCCGCTGACCACAGCTTGCAGCACGTCGGCCACAGTCCCGGAGCAGACCTCCGCCTGGGGGACATGGAGGACGAATGGGCGGGGCGAGCCAACTGTGCCTCCCTGGTGGGGGGGCAAAGACGCAGGCGCCGCCCGCATCCACACGCACACGGATGACCCGGGAAACACACAGCCCGGCCAACCAGGCAGGCAACAGACATGCACGCGCGCGCGTGCACACATACACCCCAAATCAGCCAGCGCACACTGCCACAGCCCAGCCTGCACCGGTGGGGGAGGGTATGGCGTGCCAGAGCATCCAGGAAGAAGTATCCGCCCACCCAGGGGGCACGCCAATTCTGGCAGCCCAGCCCAGAACCTGAGCCCCACCCACCTGGGAGGCCCTGCCCACCAGAGGCCCCACTCGCCCAAAAGGCTTGCCCAGAGACACTAGAAGGTTCCACCCAGAGGCCACGCCCCTCAAGAAGGTCCTGGCCCGCCCAAGGGCCACGCCCCCTGGAAGGGCCCACCCAGAGGCCACGCCCCTCAAGAAGGTCCTGGCCCACCAGGGAGCAGCACCTGCTCAGCGTCCTGGGGAAAGACGGCATCAAAGGCGAACATCCGTGGCACCGCGGCAGGAGCTGTGCGCCAGGGTCCCGCACTGCCCGAAGGTCCGGCGGCTGTATCATACAAGGTCACTTGCTTCTTCCTCGGGTCCACCTTCAGGAAGGCCGTGGACTCTGCAGAGCGCTGGGCGCCCTGTGAGGGCCAGACTCGCAGCATTACCTTCACCTGGGGGACAGGAGGGTGGCCTGAGCCGCTGAGCATCGCGGATGCAGACAGGTGACAGGGAGGCGCGGGGCAGCGGCCCACAAGCGGGGGCCCCATTCCCAGCAAGGCCAGCAGAGTCCAAGGCAGGTGACTGTGTGGGAGTCGTAAGCCTAGGAGAAGCAGTCCCGAACAACAGAGAACCACACAGCCCCAAAGCAGTGAGGTACCCCGGCCCACCCTGCAGCACTGGAGATGGTCCACAGTCTCAGGTTCCTAGTCCCCTCGGCCTGATGGATGGACAGAACCAGGCAGGCCCATCCCTGTGACCGCCTCAGCTGTGTGTCCTGGGTCTGGTACCACTCCTCCCCCTCCCCCAGTGACCCGAGGAGCCTGGCCAGGGGTCAGCAACCAGGGGGCCAAACCCACCTGGAGCCCAGCCTACTGAGCCTCCGAGAAAGTTTGGGGAGGGGCTTCATGCAGTGGGGTCGCTGGAGGGCCAGACCTCAAGGGACACCCCACCCTCTGTTTGCTTGTCATCTGGGGGTGCTGAATCCGTGGTGTGGCCCATGGGCCCCCCAAGTATCCCTGGAGGCACAGCAGCTTCCCAGGGCAGGACCTGAGGGGCTGGCTGTCCCCAGAGCCCGTCCCCGGCCAGCCCCTGCTCGTGTGCTCAACCAGCACGCGTGTGTTGTTGAGCATGTCCGGCGCCCTGGAGGACAGGGCCTTGAGAGTTGAGCCAAGAGTGGGGGAGGGGGCCGGGAGAGAGAACAGGCCTGAGCTGTCTCACCAGCAGACCCCCTGCTGAGACCAAGCAGCCCACAAAGTGTCACTGTGCAGGGACGCCCTGGCCCCTTCTGCTGCAGAGCAACTCCGCTGCCCCTCCGAGGTCTCCACCACGGTGCAAATCAAATTACCTGAGACTCATTTCATAGCCGGTATTTTTCACGGCTTTAATTGTAAGTGACAGATACAGGACGCCCGCAAAATTGGTTTGCTGCGGGTGGTGCCGCGCGCCGCGTGGCAAATTGATATGCAGAGCCGCTGGGCGGTGGTGGCGGCCTAACTACCGCCCCCCCCTCCCATGGTGCGGCTCTAGCCTCAGCTCCATTAGTCGGGAATCGATTCTTTAATTCCCGGTGTGGCCAACAAAACAATTTCGTTCCCAAGCGCCGCCGCCAAGCAAACGAGAATGTGCACTTCCCGGTAATTTTTGGCAATTTTTTTTCTTTCTGCGTGAACTCGCTGCTGCCGTTTCAGGAGCCAAATGGGCTTCTTAGGCTTTGAGAGGGTTCCTGGCCGGAGGGAGGGGCCTTCAGGAAGCAGGCGACCTCGGAGTGACACCGCTGTTACAGGCGATGGCGAGCCACCCTCTGAGTAGCAACATTAATCCCCACACAGGGGCCGGCAGGCCACCCCAGAGCTTGAGCCGGAGAATCCTGTCATTATCAGGAGGGACGGGGCCCTCGCACGCGACCAGGACCATCCAATCTCTCCCGGAAGGAGCACGTCACACAAAGCCGCCAGGAACGGAGTGAGGAGGGAGACGCTCGTTTTGCATTAAAAAAGGATCCGCGCCTCCCGGGAGGGGGCGGGGGGAGAGGCGCGGCCGCGCCCGCTAGCGGGATGTCTTTTTAATACCACAATATGATGAATTAGCTCAAGTAGCATATTAGTGTCAGAAGCGGAAGGCAACCTGACTGCCTTTCGGAGGCGCTCATAGCCACTGAGACCACTAGGGATGGAGGGCCAGGTGGGGTCCTGGCTGGGCCTGGGGGCTGCCTGGTCAGAGCTGGGGAGATGAAGCGTGCCCCACCACCAGGGCAATGGAGCAGGCGCCTCCCCCAAATTATAATAGCAACTGCAGCAGCCCTCCCTCCAGCACTTCCCGACATCCCCTGCTCTCCCTCCTGCACACTAGCAGATGGGGGGTGGGGGGCGCGCCACCCCTGCCCACTGCTGATGGTGGAGCTGGGGCCACAGTGAAGTGACAGGACCAGGTCACAGAACGAGACCCACCAAAGCCACCCACTTCAGGAGCCCCAAGGCCCCAGGGGTAGGCAGGCAGGTTCCCTCTGTCCCCTCTGCCATACCTGCTGGCAACAGAGTCCAGACTGGGCCACCCGCCAACCAGCACACTGCCAGGCGGCAGGACTGGCAGGGTGACTGACTGCCCTCCACCTGGCCCCTGGGCTGTGCCTATGATGAGGCTGCCACTCCAAGGCATGTCCCTCTTGAGGCCACCCAGAGGGACAGCACACCCCCACCCCACCCCCAGCCGTGGTGATCAGGCAAGAAGAGAGGCTGGCCCCAACTGTTCCAAGCTGCCCTCCATCCAGGGGCAGCAAGGCCCGGCTGACCTTCCCTCTCTGGCTCTCAGCTTCCCTGCAGGGACCAAGGTGGCAGGCAACACACATCCCCAGACCCTACAGCGGCAGTGAGCCTCCCATCAGACCCACGTGGACAGGGCCATCTCCTCTGCACCCCGCAGGCTGAAGGAGAAAGGCCCCTCTGCCTCCAGCCACCCTTTCCCAGGCCTACCTTGCCCATGGCGCTGCAGGGGGTATCCTTGGCCTTGGCAGCTCTGAGCAGGCAGGGGGGCATGGGGGGCGGCCACAGCTGCAGGACGCCGCTGAAGTCCGTGGGGTATGTGGAGGCAGCACGGGTGGCTGGGGCTGGCGGGGGTGGCTGGGGCTTCTTGCGCTTGGAGGCTAGGCTGAGCTTCTGTGCGGCCCTGGTGGGGGGTGGGGGGAAACACATGGGGCTCAGCTTGGCCACCAGCTCCCTGGGCCTCCTGGTGGATGGAGCAGGGGTGGACCCTACCTCATCCCAATACCAGATGACCCATGCCATGCCACACCCGACCCTCATTTTCCCCTGAGTGGGGGCCACTGCATCCCAGGAAGAGTCCCATGAGTGCAGCCCACCGTACACACACCTCTCACCCTCAGCAGGGCCAAGAGGCTGGCATCGCCATCCCTGCGCCCCCACCCTCTGCCCTTCCCTGAGGGTGCCCCCACCCTGCTTAGAGCCCCTGCCAACAGCTCTGTGTGGGGCCATGGCCCCGCAGCACCAGGGCCTGCAAAGTGCAGATTCTTAGGCCCCTGACCAGGGACCTCAGTGGTAACCAGCCCTCTGGGGATCCTGACACAGACCCTAAGTCAGAGGTCTGGGCAGCAGAACCCCACCCCCCCAGTTTATGCAGGTGCACACACAGACAGGAATGCAGACACGCACACACATGCACATGGACTCACGGATGCACATGCACATGCACACACACAAATGTACAGATACACAGACACACACATGAATACACATGCACATATACACATACACAGACATGCACACACAGAGAGACAGACACACACACATGCTCTCCAGCTCCCTGCCCCCAGGACTCCCTCAGCATCCCAGCAGGCCCCTGTGGCACCAAATTCTTCCACAGAGCATGTGCCGCTTGGCCTCTCCCCAGAATCCCCTCCTCCCCTGTCCAGGGACACCAGGGACCCCACATGGGTGTGCATTCAGTCACGTTCCCAGGGTCTGGGTAGGAGAAGACGGTAGGTAGAAAGTGGAATGGACCACCCAGACCTTGCACCCTGTTCCCCACCCCTGGCCCTCAGGGTTCTCAAGCCTGCATTACCTTCTCTAAAGATCCCCAGAGGGGTCGGCAGGAGCCAGGGTGGTGGCCAGCTCCTCCCTGGTCCTCTGCAGCAGCTCCCAGCCCCTCCCCTCGAACTCCGGCCTGCAGGCGCCCTGCTAAACCCCTCTCCTCTTTAATAGGAGCCGTCTTTTAGGAGACCCTGGGGAGAGTTTCCCTCCTCGAGAGGTGTCAGTACAGAGAATGAAGGTGATCTACGGGAGAGGCGCTCCAGCACGCGCAGCCATGAGCAGGACCCTCAGGGCCCAGCATCCGGGCCTGGGCCATGTAGTGCCTGCCCCATGGGACCTGGGGCCCCAGAGTACCTCCCTCTCCCACAGCTGTGTGACCCTTAATCCTAGCAGGACAAGCCACCCGGTCTGGCCAATGCAGCTGCGGCCTTGGGAAGGGCAGTCAGCCGGGTAGGCCAGAGCCACAGCCATGCCATGACCTGGGAGGGGCCGGGGCTCAGAAGAAAGGGGGCAGCAAAGGGTGAGGGGCTGCTGCAGGAGCCGGCTGGTGGGAGAGGGGGCCAATTGCTCCCAGGCCCGGTGGGCAGGACTGCATGCTGACCGGAAGGAGTGAGCCAGCCTTGTCTGAAGCCAGTTCTCAGTTCTCCCAGCTGGCCGTGTGTCCGGGGCCATCAAGTTGATTCCGGTGGAGGGGCTGCCCACACGGTTTCCTGAAGTGACCAGACTTTTTCCCATGGTGGCTGGGAACCTGGGACCTTGCCGTTAGGTGGGAGGCCCTAGTCCATCTGCCTTACCATGGCCTCTGGGCCTACAACTCCAATGATCCCGCTGTGTGTCCTGTCTGCATAGGGACACCTGCAGCTCCAACTGTGGCATCGCTGTGGCCCAGTAGGCCCCAGCTGGCTGGTACATTCCCTCCTGGCTGGGCCACTGGGGTGGGTGGAGGGCAGTGGCCCAGCCCACAGACCAGCTGGCAGGGAGGGTGTGCACATTAGAGGACCAGGGACCCTTGGCCCTTGCTTCCCCTTCTGGGAGTAGGAAGAGAGGCACCCACTGAATGGCCAGGCCAGCAGATACCATGGCCAGACGGGGCCCTGCCTGCCACCTCTGGGCCTGGTGGGATCAGTTCAGCTGAGGGCCAGGGTACCCCGAGCTGGTGTGCACAGGGGCTGGGGCTGGGCCATTAGGGCCCTGTGCTGGGCTAGGTGTCCCTGTGGGCAGTCTGGCAGGTCCCAGCCAGTGGGGATGCATTCCCTGTGGGCCATCCTAATCAGTCCCCCTTGACCCCACCCCCAGCTGCCCACTGGTTTCACCCAGGCTCTATGGGGCCCGATAGCCTGTGACTCACAGGTGCTTCACCATCAGTGAGGCCAGGACTGCACTTTCCCTTTGATGGCCATCAGCCTCCTGGAACCAGGACACTCCCCTGGCACACACACACACACACACACACACACACACACACACACACACACAGTTCAGGGCACAGCCTGGCTCCTGCGGGGAGGTGGCCAGGAAGGGTGGGGTTGGCTCTGAAGAGGAAACTCAGAAGAGCTGGAGGTTCACCTGACAACATATTCTTTTCATCCCTAGAACATACCTCCTCCGCCTGTTGTCACTGAACTGGGCTGGGGACCTCTGGGGTTCGCCTGCCCTGCTACCCCAAGTATTATAGAGCCACCTCTGCCCTGAGACACCTGTTTGCACAGCTGTACCCCCACACCAGTGCTTAGCATAAACTCTCAAGTAGATGGGTAGTGGATGGATGGATGGATGGATGGATGGACAGTTAGATAAAAGATAGATGGATAATTAGGTAGGTGGATAGATGATAAGAGGATGGATGGATGGATGGATGGATGGATGGATGGATGGATGGATGGATGGATGGACGGACGATGGATGGATGGATTGATGGACAGATGGATGCTGGATGAATAAAAGGGTGGATGGGTGGGTGGGTGGATAGGTGGATGAGCAAGCAGGCAGAGAGGGAGGAGGTGGAAGAGGTGGAGCCAGCCCTGCTCACCATCCCACAGGTCCCACTGCTGGCTGCCAGGCTGCCAGTTCACAACAGAAAGGGCACGTTTTGCCTTTTTGCAAAGAAAGCAGCCTCCCATAAGAAGGGCCTGTTGGGACGGGCAAGGTCAGTTATGGCCAAGTCGGTGTCTCTAACTGCTGAGGCAGGGCTGTCCCCAAGAGTCCCCAGCTCTCCACCCAGTGTTGGGTCCAGACCTGACCACCAGATTCCACCTGACACCTGCTGCCAGAACTTCCCATGAGCCCCGCCTGGGGCCCTCAGCTTCCCACCGTGTCTGCACCGCCACCAGGTCCCCTGCCAGGCCAGGCCCTGGGGAAGGTATGGTTGGCTGGGCCTGCAGGATCCCTGATGTGGGTGGGGGAAGCTGGGAGGGGTACACAAGCCCCCGAGGGCAATGCTGGGACCCAGGGCAAAGGGTACCAGTCAGGGGACAGGGGACCTACGTCAGGCTCGGTACAGCCCGGCTTGAGGTCACCAGGCCTAGGGTGGAGGTGCCTGGGGTGGGGTGATGGCTGTGGAGATGGGGATGGGGGAGAACAGGAAGGTCTCAGAGCTGGCAGGGGTGGGGAATGCTACGAAGAAGGTAGCTCAGGGCCTGCCCTGGGGAAAGGGTGACCGGGCTGCCTGTCCACCAGGTCTCCCTTCAAAATGACCTCAGACACCTCACAGGGGTTGCACACCAGGGCCCTGTGGGGGTCCAGGAGGAAAAGAGGGGCACACGGGCCTCGTCATCGGATCAGGGAGTAAAACTCAGACCCCATAGACCACCGGTTCTCAATCTGTGGGTCACTACCCCTATGGGAGTCAAATGACCCTTTCACAGGGGTTGCTTAAGACCAATGGAAAACACATATTTCCGATGGTTGGGGGGTCACCACAACATGAGGAACTGTATTAAAGAGTTTCTGTATTAGGAAGTTTGAGAACCACTGCCATAGACGATGTGACCTGGTCCTAGAGCCCCAAGCATCACCCCACTTTCCCACAGGCCTGCTCTGGGGCTAAGGGACCAAAGACTAAGGTTCGCTTAGGTTCACCAAGACCTGGGAGCTCCTGAGCCCCTGTTCACCCCCTCCCTCGTTTCTGCTCCACCGGGCAAGCCTCAGCCTCTAGACTCTCGTGCCACCCTCAAAGCCCCAGAGTTCCTCTGTGCCCCTCAGGCCTGGCACGCCAAGGACAGACATGGGCAGGGTCAGCTCTGCACCTCTCAGTCCTCGAGAGAGGTGCGGACAGCTCGCTTACTGCCCCATGAGGGCCAGGGGTCTCAGTGCTCTCTTGGTCTGCACAAGCTCCGCCCCCTAGAGCTGTAGCCCCCTCCCCCAAGGCTTCAGGTGCCACCCACCCAACGTGAGGGAGCTCCTCCAACCGAGGGAGGTCCAGCTCCCAGCAGCACGTGCACCCCACCCCTCAGATACCCCTCGGGGAGCCTCCCCCTGCTTGGGTTCAGGCTGTGGAGCTGGTTTCTATGGAAACGTCCCAAGGTCAGCAGGCTCAGACAAAGGCAGCCTGCAGAGGAGCTGCTGGGGGCCCAGCCTGCCCCCTGCCTCTTAGACATCCGGAGGCGCTGGGGGCTTCCAGGTGCCCCTGCCTCAAGAAAGCCCCACATACCCCGCACCCACCAAGGGACAGAGCAACAGTGGCCCCTGCAGCCCTGAATGCAGACCCCCAATAATGTGCCCAACAGACCCCAGACCCTGGGCTGCCCAGTCTGCCCCATATCCAACACCCACCTGGTGACCTGGGACCCCTAGCCAGCCCTGCACCCCAGGTCCCCATCGGGTGCCCTGCCCCTGCTGGGCTGGGGCAGCTGCAGCCACATTACAATTCCTGCTGAGCTCCAGGCAGGCGGGCACTCATCAGCCACGGGGACAATGTCCTCATTGCCCAACCTGTCACATCCCAATCAGTCCCTGGTCCCCCAGGCGCCGCTGATAAGGGCCAGCCCAACCCACAGACAAGCTTATCAGCGCCTCCAAGGACCGCTAATGGGCGAGTGACCCCAGCCTGCCGCCATTACCACTCATTAGCTGCCAACGACATCTTTAATCCGGCCATAAGGAGGCCGCCTGCTTTGAGAGGCCTGGGTCTGGCAGACGGGAGGGGCTCCTTGGCCTTCGCTGTCTCTGTGGCCCGTCCACACCCAGCCAGCATGCCTGGGACCTGGGACCCAGAGAGGCCCAGGCCTAGGCCAGGGACAAGTCCCACTGTGGGTGCTCCAGGCCTCCCCTTGCCCCTAGCTGACTCTGGTGAGATCTGTCCTGGGTGACGAGAACCCAGCACTCCCCTCCCCTCACAGCCACTCCATGGTACAGAGAGGGAAACTGAGGTCTGGGCCAGCTAAGAGGCTTGCCAGAGGTGGCCCAGGTTGGGCCCAGCAGATGCTGGGTTCAAACTCGGGTTGTTCCCAGACTCTGCCCTGCAGCCACCACTTAATAAGGACTCTGAACCCGGACCCTGCTGTGAGGGTAGAGGAGACATAGCTTTTCCTCCCTGGCTACCTCCCACCTACTCACACCCCACCCCACCCCATCTCATGGCCCCCAGTCCACACCCCAGGTATGCCTGCTGGCCACCCTGGGCCTGGTCTGCTGCCCTGAGCAGGGATGACCTCAGCACTCACCTGATGAAGAAGGAGGCTGCGGCCGAGGTGCCCCCAGAGCCTGCCACCGTGGGGGCTGGGGTGACCAGGGCCGTGGTGCAGGTCCCACCAAGGCCCCACGTCTGGGACACGCTGTCGGGGCCCACTGCAGGGGGGGCGTCTCGGACGGTCTCAGCCACCGCCACTGCCGCCACCGCCGCCTCAGCCTGCATGGAGGACAACAGAGGCCGTGGGGGCACACCAGCAAGGGATAGGCTCCCCAGTCCAGGGACACACCCTTAGCGGCCCCCTCCAAGGGAAGACTCCACAATATGGTTGAAAACCAGAAGGGAGAGATCTCCCTGGCCCCAAGATGCCGCCCACCTTGCCTGCTGTCTCTGTACCTCACAGGGCAGGGCTTGAGTGGGTACCGAGGGGGAGTGGATGTCGGTGGGAGCCCGCTGGCCCCAGCGTCCTTCAGCCCTTGGGGACACCAGAGGTGAGACTGCAGGCAGGAAGCTGGGAATGTAGTGTGGGAACAGCCCCAGGAGGTACTGGTCAGCGCCATAACTGCTCAGTGTGTGGCGACTATGAGGGTCCTGGCTGAGTGGGCACTTCCAGCAGACGGGCTAAGTGGAGCTCTGGGGAGGGAGGCAGCCTGGTATGGAGGTGCAGATGTAAGTAAACACCCGGACAGAAAGACGGACAGACAGGTGCCAGCAAGTAGGTCCACCTCTGCTGCCCTCTTGAGCCACATGCCGTCCTAGGCCCTCTGCCACCCCCAATGCCATCCTGAGCCTCGGTCCTGGCCCCAGGGGGCAGGAAAGCAGCTTGCCCCAACAGGGTCACCCCCAGCACCTCTCTCAGCACACCAGGGCTCCCAGAACCCAGCTTGGTGGTCCTGGCAGAGCATGGGGTCTGTAATCTCCCAGAGAGCTAGAGGTAGGGAACCAGGGGCCTGATGGCATGCCACTGGGCCCAGGCGGGAGGCACAGAACCCAGCTTCCTGGTTCACCGCAGCGCCCTGTCACCAGCTCACCCAGGCCCCTCAGCCACCCCACCCCCAATCAACACTGGTTCCCAGCTATTCCTAGATTCAGAGCATAGCTGTGTGCAAGACAGCACCTGGAGAGCACCCCCACCTATACACACACACTACCAGAAGCACCCCCACCTCACCCACCTCTGCTGGCCAGAGCCTGGACCCCCAGTGCAGGCATCAGCAGCCCACACACCTACTTCTATAGAACCCTCAGGAGGCAGCTGTGGGGGTTAGCTGAGTCCATGTCAACTTGAACATGTATGACTGTGTAGGGCGCAGTGCAATCTGCCAATCAGGTCGCAGCCCAGTGAGGCCGCCTTTAAGCAGGAAAAGGGTGGGGGTGGGGTGCTCAGGGGGTTTGCTCTCAGACACTTCGCCTTCCTGCCTGTGGGACTCTGCTGCCTCCAGGGTGGCCCCACCTTGGCGGCCAGCCCCGAGAGCTGCCGTCACCCGGCTGTGTTCCCACCGACCGTGGATCCACGCGTCTCTGCACCCACGGGCCTGTGCCTCCCTGTATCCTGCACCACTGCATGCGGCTGCCTGAGTCTGGAGAGGGACTCTTGGACTAGCCTCGGACTTACGGACTTGAGCTGGCCTGGGCAGGGGTGCCTTCTTGATATATAATTACTTATCGAGATAAAGTTCTTTCTTGCACATAGATGAGTCCCTGCATTTGCTTTTCCAGTCAACCTAGCTTAACACATCAGCCTAGCCAGCCCTCTCCTCAGACTGCCCACCCTACGGTCCACCACCCTCAGTACCCTGCCAGGCCTCCCAGCCTGGGCACCCTCTCATCCTTCCAGCCAGCATGGCCTGCAGTCTGGCTGGACCGCCTGGCCAAACTGGGCATCTGATGTGCTCCCCAGAGCTCAGCCTGGCAGACACAGCCCACCCCCAGTGGCCAGGAGACGTGGGACACGCACTGCAGGGGCACTCAGGAGGGGCCGGCTCAGGCAAGACCCAGTGAGCTGCCCTGGGAGGACAGTGTCGCGTACACAGGGCACGGTGCTGCTGTCCAGCGGGCCCCAGCTCAGCCACCGCCGCATGGCCTGCCTCCTGCCCGAAGGTCCGGCAGCGCCCGGCCTCCACGCGGGCCCAGCGCCACACTGACCTGTCTCAGGAGCTCCCGGGCACTGGCTCCGCCGTCCCCACGCGCTGCCCGGGCGCAGCTCCCGAGGGCAGAAGGGCCCGGCCGATCCCTGCCAGAAGCAGAACCCGGGCATGCCA